AGCAACGTGAGAATGAAGAAGTTCCTCTGCAAAATCAGACATATTTAGGGTGCACAGAAATCACAGTCTCCAGTTTGTTCAGCTGGCACTGATTTGTTCGTTCTGTGCCTGCTTGAAATGCACCTGCTGTAATTTTATGGCAATTTCAAATTATCCTGGGTTGAAGTTTTGAATAACAAGGCACATCGAAAGACCAAACCTTAGAGCATCTTACTCATACAGCACTTTCACTGACGTCAATAAATCATCAAAATGCAAAGGACGACTATAAATGCCATATGTTTAGTTCTACTGCAGGCCAATAAATGTGTTTAATTAATTTTTAAATGATTTGCACCATTTTAATAGAAAAGAGTTTTTATAGGATTACCAAGCAATTCTTTTTATATGAAAATTTTATGCACCAGATTTCTCTGAACTGTGACAGTTGGCAATGTGCAGATACTGACATGATTATTTATGTAAAAGAGAAATTTGAATGATGATTACAATAGGGTTTTCTTATGGAGAGAATGTAGAAGAGAACAAATATAAATCATAATGCTCTGCACAAATTTCTAACAGAAATTACAGATAGGTATTTCTGTCAAGAGACAAAAGAAAAAATGAAAGTATGGAATGAAATTAGCTGAAATATTCATTGTGGATAAATAGTCTGAATAGAGCTGCAAGAAATATTCCAATAAAAAATGTAATAATTTTTGGAGTGAAAATATTTTGGCTTTCTTTTCTCAGTCTGATGCTCATTTTCAATTCTTTGAAAGGTTCATGTTTCTGAGATGTACCTTTTTCTAGAATCAAAACATTTGATTTTGAGCCAAGTTTTATTTCATTTCCAAATGAAAGAAAGTCATTATCCAAGATGTCACACAATGATTGTTTTCTTGGGCTGATTCACTGCATTTCATAATGCAAAGAAACCAAGCAAAAACAATCACAGAAGCAGGCCCCAAATTTGAGGGACTGCAAAAATAGTTATCCTACAAAGCACCTGTAGGGATCTTTTGCCCTCCACTCCTGAAAGTACTTGGATTTTTCTGTTATATTTTACATATTTACTGATTTGGTGATCAAATTTAAATACAAACTGAAGAATCTGTCTGGAAACCTCATTGAGAATGATATACTAACCAGACCTGGGGCCTGACCTTGCATACCTAGCATGAGAGCCTACCTATAATTACTACTTAAATTGTCAACGGAGAGAGATATGGGTCTCTCCAGGATGCATATCAGATCTTGAAAGGTTGGAAGTGGCTGAAGGAGTTGAAGTGTGTAAGGTTAGGAGTAATGAAGCTGGGGCCAACATTCAAAGTCATATATTCTGAGTCATGCTTCTGCCCCCGACTAAGTAACTAAAACCTTTCACACAGGAGAACAGCAGAGGATGAACGGTGAATATCAGCTAGCAAATATCACACAAAGAAAAGCTATGCCCAAATTCTTGTCTGCAGTAAAATGCTAAAAATAATAATAAAGTCACACAAATGGAAAAAGAAAACAAATGAGGCTCAATTGAGGACCAGTTCTGAATTCCCCTGTAGGCCTGTTAACTTAATTTGGACAAGGCTTGTAAAAGAAGGCGCAAAATCACTTAAAGAAGGCTTTAGGACTCGTATCGCCAGGAATGTAGTGACAGGAAACAATGAGAATAGACCAGAGAAATAACTGGCGTGGAGGCAGAAGATGTTTGGATAAACGTGCCTAGCTTCCTTTCCAACAAACTAGAGGGAAATCAGCCAGATAGGAGACCTATCTATCTGTATATCCATAAGCAAAAATTACTCGCACACAGCTCTGTGTTTTGCAGTTAACAAAACAAGTTCTGTCAAGATGTAAATCATTTAAACCCATCAACTGAATTAATAAAGTGTGTTCATAGAAAAGATAGGCACAAAAAAGGAAGGAAAAGGAGCGTAACCTCATACGATCATCACCACTATTGAGCTCTCTACTTCCATTTTTCAGAGTTTTTTTTAAATTTTCTTTTTTCTCTTTCTGTTTACCATGTGATCCCTTCATGTTATTTTCTCAACACCTTTATTCATCCTTAAAACAAATGAAGTTACAAAAATCCACATTGATTTCTTTCAGATCTGTTTCTGAGACTGAAATGGAAACTGTCAGACCATATAGGTTTGATTCAAACAACAGAGATTACTTTTACTTTTCTTCAGTTCCTAAATGCAGATCTTACAAACATAGTGGTCAAAATCATATAAAAAGACCATATTTCTTCATATTTCTCATATTTCTTCATATTTCCTCAATCATATAAAAAGACCATATTTCTTCACAGGAATAGGTACTTAACTCCTATCTGCATAATTCTTTGAGGGGATATAGTCCATCTCTTCCCTACAGCTCAAGTAAATGGTGCTAAATATCAGCAGCGACCACTTGCATTAAATGACCTGCTGTGGTCCCTTCTAATTTGAATTATCCTATGATATTCTTATGGTCATTTGAGAACTAGAAAGGAATATACTGTTTTTAAATACTGTACTGCATTTTTCTTCTGTGCACTAGAGCTGTACAGTGATTCTTCATTATACACAGTCCAGTGTGGCTTCATACTTCCCTAAAGAGAATAAAAAACCCAGGCTACTCTTTTCTGAACAGGAGTCCTCAAAATGCTTACAGAATTGGGCCCAGAGATGCCTTCTCAAATGTTTAACATCCATGAACGTGACTCATGCTAACTTTGCTTGGTTTTAGCAAAAAGTTGCTACACTGTGTTCAGCATCAATTAACTAGCTATGCTTAAATACTTATATCTATGTGCAGTCATGCTAAATTTGAAGGGCATATAAAATATTAATCCATTGCAGAGATTCCTTTTGTTTTGAAGTTTTGAAATGTGCCGGCATGTCAAAATATGCCAAAATATTTACAGAAACCACAAAACCTTGGAATTAGGTAGTTATCAAATACAGGCATTTATATGGCTAAGAAATATAAACTATCATTCTAATTTCAGATATTTCGGGGAGTGAGATTTTTAAAGGGGAGCTACCTTGAAAAGCAACGAGGTCTGGCTGGATCTTTTCTAAGGGTCCCACTGACGTTTCTTGCCATGTTGTACAAGCTTCCTAAAACCACTCTGCCTCGGAAAACTCTACTTACAGAAAATTATATACTTGAGGTAGCAGAATAGTTTACACTGGGTTATTTATCTATACAAGTAAAGAGTTCAAGGATAGGAGTGATAACTGAAACACTGTGTATTAAGGTAAAGATTTTGGCATGGCTTGGCAGTTACAGCAAGTCTTAAAGGAATCAAAGGCAGCAGCCACCTCTGAGATAACTGCATGCCACTTCCAGATTTTGGCAAATAAACCATATTTTTCATCTCCTTACATGTGTTGCAAATAGTTGCAAAGGTCTGGATGGAGCTATTCTAGATAAGTCAAACATAGAGGACATTTAGCTCCATTTGACAGTGCTCTTTGAAATACTGGCCCCACTGATGTGGGTAACAAAATCTTGCTGAATTCAATACATCAAAATTTCACAACTGCAATTTTTTATACATTTTACCTAGTGCTTGTAATTACTGTCTGGTTGAAAATATATTTCTCTTCCTCAGAAAATATTGCTATATGCAAACCAGCAGTCAGTATAAGCTATGAATAGATCCTAATGAAAGATTGCAAGGCAATCTTGTCAGAAAATGAGAAGACAAAAAGCAAAAACAATCTTAGATAGCGTTTTTTGAAATGAACAGATTTCTGCTGTTGGGTCTCTACAAGAACCTCTCATCTGTTTTAATGAACAGATATATTTGTCTGGCTTACCTTCATATAACCAGTCTGCAATGCCATTAAAAATAATTCCTTCTTTTCCTGAAGATGTCAGGCGCAATGAGCTACTCTTTACATCAGGCTGATAGTAGATGTTATTTTCAAAAATATAAATCTGGATAAAGAAAGAGGGGTATTTTGGTAAATATAAATGCATGCACAGTAACAAATACACTATATCCTCAGGTTCAGAACAGTCTATAAAATAATTCATCATGAGTTTCCATTGACTTTGCTTTCATATTTTCTGTTATTTGCATTTTGGACCAACTATGCCAACCTTTACTATTGCACCAGGCCAAATTCTGCCTTTGAAGATGCCTTTCGAGTTGAAATGTTTTTATTCACATTAGGAAATACCATCAATTCCTCAGAATCATACAGGAGCCAAGTTTTGTAAGAGTTAAATAATTACAAAATGCTCAATCAATCCTATTTTATCTAATAAAATTATCTGTATTCTGAAAAAAGTACTGAAAAAGTGAACTGCGGTTCACTTCTCTTAGCTCTCTAACACTATTTCTGCCTGTGACACACCTCAAGTGTGCTATAAAAATGCTCTTTATTTTCAGGCCAGGTCTCCTCCTCCTTTTCCCACAGGCGATGGAAAGGATAGGCCTTTTCTCCTTGGCTGTTATGTCTCAGCTTTGTCTGTTTTTACTCTCCCAGCACATTTTTGCTCCGAAGGTTTTCAAAGTCATTCATTTACAAGGCTAAGCTCCAAGAGAAAAAAAAAAAGAATGAAAGACGAAGGAGGAACATATGGAGGGGCAGAAGACAAGCATGGTGATGCTGAAGCAGCTTTGTTGGAAGGAAATTCTAATATACCTATTCTCATATAGACAAGTATCTCATCATAGGCTACATGTGTGCCTTTCTCTGACCAGCCCAGAGCCTTCCCAGTGCTTTGCAGCATCAGGAATCGTGCAGCATAGGTGCCTTGGAATGCAGATCTGCCCTGGAACTGCCTCTCCTGCTTGAGGTTAGTAAGAAACAGGGCAGAGATACCAACCTCTACAATACAGACAGGTACAAAAAGCAGCCACAGAACTAATACCAATACTCTTCTTGGTCCTCCGGGCGCTAATCCCGCATTCTTCAGCTTCAGGAGCTGTTGCAGCTGGTGACTTTGTTCTTATTCAGCTATAGGCGTCACAGGGCTTGGGCCTTTTGGTAAGTTAACAACAAACCCAAACGATGTCTAGATATACATTCACACAAGCTTAACAAGGCAAACAACCTCATATCAATAGCACACACCACAACTGATTCCCAGTGAGGAAAGAGTAGGTAACGGCACCCATGAAGCAAGGCATTATCAGGATTTCTGTAACACAATCTCATCAATGTACACTGAGATATACGCACTCTCCAGGGCTGCTAACATGAAATAAATGTATTTCCACCAAAGAGCATTTTAAAAGCCAGGTCATTTATCATTTTCTCATACTTCTGTGATAAACGACTTATGGGAAAATACTTACCAGAGCGCTAAGTATTATTATCACTATTACTGCTGTTCTCTCCTCTCCTAAATTACCATCTGAAATAGATTTCCCTATGAGTCCCCAAACTAATGGCATTTCTTTGTATTTTACAGTAGCCACTTCATGATTTCTACTGCATAAAGCAATAAAGCTGAGATTTTTCTTCCCATGAGCAATGCAAGGATTTTAACAGTTACTGTGAATGAAAGGTAACTTGGGACAAAGCTATTTTTGATCAGAAATTCAAAATCCTTCAGCAAGTACAAAACCAATGCAAAACTAGATCTAGGTTCACTGAGCCAAAAAGAACTGCCATTACATTTACATATTAATAATGCTTGATACAGTTGATAATTTATGTGAAACCATTGTGTGACTCAGCATTAGTGCTAAGAGAAACATGGGATCAGAGACCTCTGAAGAAATCAAGCTTTTGCAAAAAAAAAAAAAAAACTGACAGATATTATATATTCCCATAGTCAAAAAGTACTTTTTCCTCTAAGACAAAATGAGCAAATACAAGCAATAAGGCATGGCTGACTGCTTAATCAAGCACAATAAAATAATTTTGTCAAGTACTTGCTATTAAACAATCTAAAAATAATCATATCAGGCCAAACTAGAAACAGCATAAGGAGTGAAAACCACAGTACTGACCATAGCTTACTAAGCAGCCATTTCTTACAGTTGACAATATCTCATATAAATAAATGTTTATAGGTGGTTACATAAAGAGCCTTGATTCTACGCTATTCAAGCTTCTTCAAGTAACAAGCTCAGTCTAATTTAGCTTTGGAGATGACAGGTATCATGCTTCTCTCTCTTCCTTTGGGGCATTTTGCATTTTTTCTGGGTGAAGCTCCCCACACTGTCTATTCTCTACAACGAAAAGCTACCATTTAGAGCCATCACTGCCAGTCCAAAAGCAAGATTAGAAAATATTTGTTTTATGGCTGAACCATGAAAAGATCTTTAATTCTGTTATTGCTGGTTAGCAGGCATTGCTAATTCTACTTGACACATTGCAGATAAGTAAATCTCTGAAAAAATATTTGTTGCTGTTCTCCTGAGAGCCTCTTTGTCTTCCTCACTTCCCCTCACTGCTTGACCACTTTCTCAACATTCTCATACTCCTTTACTCTACTTTGCCATCAAAGTTTCCCATTTCCTTCAGTCTCAAAAGTGACCTCAGCCAACATTTTGTCCATCTTTGTCATGGACTGCAACATTTGTAGGCTCTTTAAATTCTCCCTGCCTTGATTCCTGCTTGCGACTTGCTGGGATTCTACCTTAAAAAAAGATGAATTTACAAAAAGCATTTTCTGAAATACAAGCATTTTTTTTCCATATAACAAAAGAGAATGTAAATCTAAGCCAATGGTTTGGTGTCGGCATCAGCCTGTGCTGCCTGCAGCATTTCAAAAGATCAATATCCCCATGCTCGAGGCTGTAAAAACATCTTAGAAAGATTCATCGTGACTGTTAGGCATTTAATCGCCTCTGTAACTTTGAATATTTGTTATATGATTTCAAGAGGTGCCATTTTCACATGAAATCCACAAACTACTACTATTCATATCGACGGACGCATGTGCACCTCCTGCAAAAGTGCTATCTAAGCACTGAAGTCAAGGACCACTTTCCCTTCTGTTCTTGATGCTGTGAAAGTGTTCATCTGTGATTACTGAGCTCCTTCACCTCTGAGAGATAAGGATTGGAGGTTAAATTGGTGGTTTCTGCCAGAGCACTAAAACAGAAAGCAGAAATGTCCCAGGATGATAGCACCATCACGCAGGTAGACCTGCTGCCCTGGGAGGCTCTGCCTTGCTCCCTGCAAAGCCCAGCTGCAAACTCTATTAAACACAAGAATTTCAACTGACTTTGCATAGCCACAAACATCCATTTCCTGTCACCAGAGCAATGCATAGGCTGTATGTTTTCAACTTTTCCTTTCCCAACATAAAGATTAGATACTTCAGCACCACAATACATCAAAGCTGAATTCTTGAACTATTTCCTTACAACTGGGCCTTTAAAACCAAGAGAAACATATTACAGATGACTAGGAAAGGGCTCAGCTTCTTACCTGCCCTAGCACAGACACCTGAACTCTTGAATGCTGCAGTCCAGAAAACAAAACTGGGATAAAATTTACTAATAAAGCCAAATAACAATCCTTGGACCACAACCTTGCAAACACATATGCCTAATGTCCTGACTTGCATAAGCAAAATTAAACTTGTGTCTAAAGATTTTCAAGGTAGAGCTTTCACCTCCATCACTTTCTGCATTGTGTTTTGGCCAGACAAAATGCCACACAACCTACTTTTCCCTTGCTGGTCCATTTCCAGTCACCAGTCATTCCCAGATATCTGAGAGCAGATGAAAAATGCTTTCCTATGTAATGTACACTTGTGTCTAATTATTACATCAGTAGTGCTAAAAACTTTATAGTCCCAACAACAGCATTTTCCAAAATTGCTAAAGGAGGAGCAGCTAACTGCACATCACACAGGTATTCTCCTGAATACATCAGTGGCTTTGTGCCCAAAATGCTTTCACAGCTTTTAGGCATAACGATAAGAAAATAAATTGAAAAAGGCACAAAGTGGAACCAGGCTATGCTATCTTATGTGAAAATTATTATTACACTTTTTTAACCACTTCACCCCCTAATTTCCAAGTACTTTACAAAAAAAAAAAAATGCTAAGAGCCTTAGTAAAAATGCAGTAAAATAGGGATAAACATTAAAATCTATGCCCTTGAAAAATCATGTGATTTTTTTTTTCTTACAGATTTGGCACAGCTACTCACTTCAAACTTGAGACCAAATTTCAAAAAAAAGTATTTCATCATTTATTTTTTAATTATTTTCCAATTAATGAAAAAAATCTATAAAAATGTTTTGGATTAGTGAGAGATTAATTCTTGATAAAAATCACATTTATTGCAACTGACTGAAGAACTTGAGGCTCTGCTGATTCTCCTGTTTTATCAATTCACTAATCTCCCCACCCCTTCTTCCACAGCTGTCCGCCTCTCAACCGTTTTTTTCCACAAATCTTTGTCTAAATTAATTTCTTCCAAAACGCTTCTTTATTGCTTGCAACATGCCTCACATTTTCATCCAGGCTGAGACACTGAGCCCAGCACCAGGCCGAACAGTTGGTTACAGATAGCAGACAGCTGTGAACGTAGACACATCTCTGGAACGGCCAACCCCATGCCAAGAGCTGCAGTGGTCCCTTGTGCACTTTTCATTATTTCAACTGCTATAGGTTGAGAAAAGCTATTAAATGACAGGAAAACGAACAAACTAACAAACAAATGTTCCCCATTTTTCCCTTAGGTGCTCCAATCAAAGTCTTCTGCTTGGTGTGTCCAATGTGCAGCCATGCCTCCGATGGCAGTGGCACAGGGACTACAAAAGGAGCTTTTTACTTGCCATTAGCAGCAGCTCAAAGCCAGGTGGGACAACCCAACTCTTGTGTATTTGTCCTTTAGTCCTTTCTCTAATAAGCACAAGGTAAACTTATCGCACATGACTATGATGAGGGAACTTGCCACATAACAAATTCTAGAAAAATATTATAAAACATTAAGTACCCAGACATGTAATCATTAAGCACATGGCCATAACAGATTGCTGTTCAGTAATATGAAGGGGGACCCACTTTGTGTTTGGAAGCAACATAAAAACAAGCAACAAAACAACAGCAATGCAAGCGTCAATGGGGTTTGGAACCACAACTTACCCTTAAAGATAATAGATCCCAAAATCAACTTTGTAAGATAAAAAGATGACACAAAATCCAGTATCTTTTCTTGAAGTACATAAACAAGACTTTGTGCCTAAAAAAAGTCTGTAAGAGCATCTGGATTCAAGGTAAAGGTGGTGTATCCACCCATACTGGAATGTGCTTAGGCTCACTTAAGATTCCTAAAAAGTCTTTTTCAACAACAACTTTTCATGGAGCACCAATGGCCATATTCTGATATTTACTGCTATTTTCAGGCTTTGGGCTGCAGTATCTTCTCTAAACCTCTGTTAGGAGTTGTATTAATAAAAGTTTAAATAAAATTGTACTGACATATTATTAGTTCTAATAACTGTTCCGCGCCATCACAGTGAGTCTCTCTGAAGAGCACCATTCCCCAAGAACCCACCTAAAACTCATTTCATTGTAGAGTTCAGAAAGCCTACATTTCCAAAATATCTGCTTGTATCTTTTGTACCTGAAGATATGTAAACTCTGCAAGTAATAAAGCTGGTGCATCTGTCTGCTGGCAAGAAAAAGTGGCATGGCACAGCGAGCCAGTGGAAAGAACACACAGAACAAGAATGGTAGAGGGAAAACACAGCATCTGTGGCCAATGGCATGACCAAGAGATTTGTAATTACATGGATTCATTAGGACAAACACTCACTTCAAGGAAGGAGACAACTAAAATCTTAAAAAAACTGAGTAGGTACAGCTAGAGAAGCTAGAAGAAATATATATATATATAGTTAAGAAGAGCACCCTAACCACAGACTGAGGCAATGTTCATATTCTTCCACAGCCTCTCTGACCAACAAACGTATAACAAGTCCAACTTGGAAGAATTTCAGCACTCGAAATTAATACTCCCCAGTACACGCGAGTCTTTCCTATTATTCACACAGCAAACAGTATGACAAGACTAAAGAGTTTGTGATTGTACCCAAAAGAATAAATTGAGGTATCTGGGAAATGTCACTACTTATAGAACAGGCAGTTGCTGACAACAGCTCTAAAGACTTGGACTTAAAGCCTCTTTCTGCAGCCCATCTGTGGCTTCACTCCTGCGTGACTTTGCCAAGGACATGGAGTTCATTGCTGTTTGGAGGAGCATGGGTATTTTCAGAGCCCAAAGCATTACTTAACAACTTTGTTTTTTGCTCATTGCAGAGGGGTAATTATTTTTACTGACACAGATACGAATGCGGCCTTGTGCATTCCCACAGAATATCCCACTAACCATGTGACTTCCCATCACCAGTGCCGATAGCTACCATCGAGGACATGATCCATCTGACTTCAGCACTTCTGAAGCATGAGGTAGGATTCCAGCCCTTCTTCTTGTGAGACTGCCAGCTCATTAGCTGGGTAATTAATTCTTCAAAAGATTCAAGATGTTTTTCCATCTGGGCTTGCCTCTTACCACCATTTGTTCTGTTTCCTGTCTTAGCATACATAAATGGGGGCCAAATCCAAACACCCTGAGTTAGATCAGTCAGTAAAATCTCCAGAGGAAATATGTTACATTGCTAACAACTGTTAATACAAAGAGGTATTCACCAGACAGAAAATAAAGTCAAATAAAACAAAACTGCATTCTTAATCTCTCAGTAGATTTTGTGCTTTTGTTCTTTAGAGACATGAGACTTTGGCAACTCCAGGCACAACAGGAAGTTGCTGTTGGCTACTTTGCAGCTCAAACTCATCCTGGGAGAGGAAAGAAGTTGTTACAGCAGAGACAGCAGTCACATTCCTCCCATTTCTGGGCTTGTGTTGGAAGAGGCACAGAAAAAAGCAGAGTTGTGCTTCCCTGCTCCACACACAGCAAAATGAGGCACATGGCCACAGGTGAAGAAGACAACTTGTTTTACCAGCTACATCCCAGTAGCCTGGAGCTAAACACATCAATCCAAATTCACTTGGCACTGCTTAAACCTCATGGCTATAAATACATATGCACATACAAAATACAATATGTATGTGTGTGTGTATATACACACACACACACACACACACGTATATATAATATATAGCCTAAGAGCTGATGTTTCACAACCTGTGCCTGAAGCTGACAAAAACTCTGGGACTCTGCAGGCAACATTTGGCTGCACGGGCAACATTTGACCTTAAACAAACATGTAAATAATAATATGTGCTATCTTAAATGGCATCATTTATTTTAAAATATTTTTAAGTGATTTTTAGGAGAAAAAGTGGCTTAA